AAGTACTACCAGTGCTACCAAGTGTAGACGGGCACTTCTACGAAGTTGCCTCGTACTACTAGCACACAACTTCAGCACAAGCGAGAAAGCAGTTAGAACGTCTTACCTTCGCGTGCGAGGGTGGTTGGGAGGTTGGTCGACTGCTTAAGAAGCCGTACCACCAGTTGCCTCTCGCTTAAGCGAGAGTGCAACGAGCTTCTTAACACTAAAGCACCGACGTCACGCAGAAGCTTTTCAGCTTCTCGTGCGTGGTGCTTCGGTGCTTGGCAAATTCAAGACTGAGCTATATTAAATGAATTATAATTACATATAAAACTTAACTACTGATTGGCTATATATGTATATAGATCGGATACGCGACTGTTTAGAAGCGTATCCTGTCGCATGATCTTAAATCTAGATTTGAGCTCGCTAATGACGTCCTTCTGAGACGTCGCGATGCCTAGCTTCAGCTAGCGTCATCCCTTCCCATGTGAATCCATCAATGGATATCAGGTGGATCACATTTGTGTATCGCACCCAAGTGACAGGTCAAAAGTAATCATGGATACTTTTAGACCAAACATTAAGTATATTACTTAATGGTTACGTGTAACTAGATACCCTGTTACACGATTACACTGCCGAATCTGATGATGGGCGCGTTGGTGCTCATGTCATGCTGTGGCTCTTTGTTGCGTGCTTGCTTACCGTAGATGCACGAGACGCGCGACATGTGCTTGTTGCTTGTCAGTGCGGATGCATGATTTCGCGCTCGACGGTATCGAACGCCAAATGCCCAAAGCACTGATGGAAGGGCAGCAGCGTGCTCTTCCTGCACGTCGCTTGCCACGTCCGTGGTTGCACCCACTTCAAGAGCCTCCATGATGGCCTCTCCTACACCGTGCCTTCCTTGTGTTGCTATCACGCCGACGTACGGCACATTGCTGCCCATTAAGATGTCAAATGCGATGGCACCGTCGCGTTTCCCAGCAAGAGCGCTTATCACTTGTATAGACCTTTCCTTTCTAGATTGCCATACACGAGAAATTTTTTCACCAGTCGCGGCGCCAGATACTCGTCCGTGATCACGATACTTTCGCCACCGCGCGCTGTAACCTCCAGTCACCCACTGCCGACTTACGTCAAGTGCAGAGACTCGCCCTCAGCCATTAAGATCTCGTGGTCGCATGGGCCCAAGTCAATCAACAACGTCTCATCATTTACGAGATGCTGACTCGCCCCGCTGACGAGGATCCAGTTGCCACGAACGGTATCGCCCGTGTCGCTGACAGTGAAGACCATCTCATGTATCCCCTTTTTGCTGCGCTGGGCGTGTATCGCCCTCTCTCTTGTCTTCTTCTCGTATAGCGTGAGGGTAATGCTACCACCGTTGCTACCATAGTCCGATTTGCAGCCACCTTTTTTTCTATTAAGCGGCAGTCAGCTTGCACGTGTCCGGCCTTGCCGATGCCGCAGCAGGTACGTGTCTATTTCACTTGTTGTCGACGTGTTCCAGCAAATACTTAGCGTCCAACTGCACTGCAGCCGAGCTCAATCGAATACGCAAAGTGCGTCAGCTCTTCGGCATGGCACAGGAAGTGGACACGCGTCTGGTCGTACTTGGCGCGCATGACGTTCATTAGCCCAGGCGACGCGTGATGGACAATATTGCACAGAACAATCAATTCTGCGCCTCCGGGTGCGTCCCTTACAGCCACCATGTAGATCAGAAGATTGAGAAGTTTTGACACTCAGTATTCCAGATCCAGCCGTTGCGAACATCATTTTAGACTCTTGAAAATCCACATATTTGCATTCTTCGCCGATCGAAGACTTAACCCCGTTTGCCTAGATTTAACCTTTATAGTTCAACAGTAATAAAACGAGTCCGTTAAGTATATGATACTTAACGGACAGGCATTAAAGGATACGATGTACCTTAGACCTGCCACTTGGGTGAGGCACATCAACGTGACCCACCCTCGTGAATGTGATATCCATCGATGAATTCACATTTGATGGGGATGACGTCCTGTTGGGACTAGGCGTCGTGATGACGTCACAGATGGACGCCATCAGCGAGCTTTAATATATTTAAAGCTTGCACGTAGGGATACGCTTCTAAAGAGACGCGTATTTAATCTTTGCATAATTAATCAATCAGCAGTTAGATTTACATTTAATTACTTTCTATTATATATAAATCAGTCCTAATTTGCTAAACTAAGCTCACTACGTACGAGAAGCTGAATATTTATTTGCGTGTCGTTAGTGAAGCTTTTAGCTAAAAGATTTTGTTGTTGCACAATTCGCTTCTGCACTGGCAACCGTTGGTGCGACTGTTTAAGCGGTCGACCATACACCCCAACACCGCGCACAGAAGTTAGACGGTTAAACTGCTTCCTCGCGTGCTTGAAGGTGTGTTTTAGCGTAGCACGTGACAGCTTCTTTCGAAGTGACCTTCTACACAAAGTGTCCTGGATCAAGCTTCTGGCCCATTCAAAAGTTGTCATTGACCTGAGTCGGCGCATCAACTATGTCATCCCCAGCATAAGCTGGTCGTTGAGCACCAAAGTAGGTGACCGGCAAAAGATTCGGTGAGCGTTTGTAAGGAGGGGTTCGCTTTAGAGCCTGCAGGTTAATACTTGCCCTTGTTTCCAAAAACGAACTAAAAATGCTTGACTCCACAGAGTCTTTGCGTTGTTGCTCGGCTTTTCCGGCCTGCGAGGATTCCATCCTGTTCATTCGTTCCAACAAGTCGCCAAGCATGGCGAGCATCTTTTTCTTTCCTGTCAACACTACAACATGCACTTCAACGGCACTGTAAGTAGACCACGTCTTGTTTCTTATAGCGCCCGTCTATCCCGTCCATCATCATCCGATGGTCCCACGTGACGGTCTCGTCGCCTGGTCCCATCTGTCAAGTTGTCACATCACTAGCCCATCAGTTGAGGTTGTGTTTTACCTGTAATAGGTGTTGCACTGTATCCTCAAAACCTTTTCGACCTGTCAAAAACGATAGTTTCTAAAATACGTGTACTCGATGCTTGTTGCAATTTCGCAACTTGCAAATTGCCGAATCACTACGCAGCACTTAAATGTACCAAATTTGCTAAAAAAAAATTGTCGTGGGGTTGAAGGCGTGCAACACGGCACTGACAGGAAGGGGCGATGAATGGTCATGAGTTATTCGAACACTACTTACATATACTGGCGTTCTGGTGAGAGAGACGTCAATAAGCAAACCAATTCCTTTTTATTTAATATATATAAACTCAGTCTGATCATCCGAAAGCAGACCGTCGTTGCTACTCAACTCGATCAAGACAGAGCAATCTAAAAATGAAGTCGCCATGACGGCGATGGCCATTGAACTAGCCATATATTTGTGCACTGCATCGCGCGTTGTTCTCTGGGCTGTTAGCCGCTCCTAGACTCCGCTGTCTGATGTGTGTCACTGTTTGCTAAAATTTGCATCTTTGTATTATTACATCTGAAAGTATCCATCCACCCTTAGTCTTTATTCAAAGGGTTGGTGCACATGGCACTGTGACTTGGTCAATTTCGCATTTATATCAAGCCAGGACCAAGCTGGATATGTACCCATCGCATCTGTTTTGTACGATCGCATTCGCCAGTGCAGTAGCTGCCACTTCAAACAATTCCCTCACACGAAGCCGCATGTACGTCCGACTTGTACAAAGTTGTCGTTTAACCTAATGTGTATGGCAGGCGTGCCGTCCGCACAAACGCTTACCTATTCTGCGAGTGTTGTCTGCACGAAATGTGCTGTATAAGCAGCGTCAATCGCCTCCTTCACGACGAACACCTGGCGAGTCTCCGCCATGTGCTGACCCTGCTCTTGTCTTCGTGCTCTGCTGAAGAGTCAGAACGTAGATCAACATATTCGTATTCACCTCTTTAAGTGAACGCTTCTTCTTGGCGTGGTAAGGGTCATACTCCGCCCTTTATTCCTTTTTAGCGTCTACCTATTCTTCTGCATTAGTTTCAGTTCGCTTCTCTTTATCTCCCTCATGCACATGTGCCATCAGCATCTTCATCCTTCGCCTCGTCCTAAAACTTGTCGCTACATAAAGCATAAAAGTCAAATTCTGTTGCACCTTTTGAGCGTGCCCCTCACTCAGTTGCTGCATAGTAGTGTTTTTGGACCGACTGTGAGCATGTCAAATGGTCACATGTTTCGTAACTCTACTTCCTTGATCAGCATATGATTTAGCCGCACTCGCTGTCGCAAGAGCATTTTTCTCTCTGACTGCATTTCCCCCATCTGCTGCCTCATGCGGCCGTTTTGTGAGTACACGCCATAAATGGTGTCGTCTTTATTTGAGCACGACAATTGTGCGAAACTGCCGCCTGGATGGATGGCATGTTTCCTAATGGTTATATAAGTACCTAAGTCGATACCTGTTGTAATTGGTCTCGGCACCTGTTCATTAGGGCAAAACGCGAAAGGATAAATAGATACCTTTGTGCACGCATCGGGTCGAAAAGTGTTTGCATATACCTTTGAATCGATAGAAAGTATAAGGCACAAACTCAAATGATATTTGCTGTCCAATATGCCTCAAATTCCATATTACTCCCTACCATGCAAAAGTTGGTTGATGGCACATCGCAGCTGCATGACAAAGATTTGCGGCAGCAACTTGTCTCTCAAATCAGTATTCTCTATCAGCACAGTGTGTGGAGCCAGTCTTGCTTGGGCGCTACGACATGCTCACAGCAAACCTCTGCTACCATCCGAGCTTGTGCCACCTGCTTTTTGAGCAAAAATGTCTTAGATCGTGCGACATATGTTTGATAAATGAAAAGGGAGAAAAGAGGTCGTAAGACGTAAGATGCACTGGGATTAACGATGATAGGTTCAACAAACAATAGTGCACTGTAGCTACGTCGACTGAACGGTGAGAAGGTATATTGCGATGGGGATGTGCTGAAGTTTGTTCCAGGCCAGTTCCGATTATTCATTCTTCTACGCACTTCGCCCCTCCTCGAAAATGATGAACGCTGCTATCGCGTTTGCGCTTGGTGCCAGCTCGGTGGCTGTAACTATCGCCCAGCCACATTTGATGATTGGGTCCACATACACGGGCGTAAAGGGGCTAAACGACTTGGCTAAGTCTCTCGCAAACAGATACATGGGCACGACCACGGACACTATCCAACTGAGCGACAAGTACTACGCTGAAGAGCTTAAAAATAGTCGGGATTTCGGAATGATTACTCCACTAAATTCTATGCAGGTGAACATCTTAAACTGCATACGTCTACGATTAATGGAGCTGTCGTTCACTTTGATTCTGTTTTTGCTGTAGTGGGATGCAACGGAGGCAGTACAGGGCGTCTTTACGTTCGAGGATGCCGATGCAATTGTCGCTTTTGCCAGTAAATCGGGGGCCCAAGTCCGCTGCCAGACTTTGGTCTCGGTAAGTATTTTCTGATAAATACTTGCTTTACTAAACTACGACTGATGTGTTTACTACATATTTTTGCAGCACAAGCAAGTACCGAAATGGGTACAAAGTCTGGAGAAAGCAGAGCTCCTTAAAGCAATGTCTAATCATATCACCAAGGTCATGACGCACTTTGGAGACGTGTGCTCCGCTTGGGATGTCGTCAGCGACGTAATCGAAGATGATGGATCGTACTGCCAGTCCTTCTGGTTTAAGAAGACGGGCAAGGACTACATCTCTACCGCGTTCGAGACCGCCCATGCCGTGAAAGTAAAGCTTAATCTCAAGACTCGACTATACTACAGTGACTACAAAATAAGTGTTGTCAACAAAAAGTCAGATGCAGTACTGGAGATGGTAAAATCTTTTATAAGATTTGGGGTGGAAGGCGTCGGGTTCAAGTTGCACTACAAAGACAGCGATTCGGTGGCGGGCGCCGACATTTTTAACAATTTTCGTCGTTTTGCTAGAGTGAATATGGACATCGCGATCACAGAGCTTGATGTAGTGACAAGCAAGGCCAACCCCACTGTGATTGAACAGCAGAATCAGGTTGTAATCTACACCAACGTGATTGCAGCTTGCAAAAAGACTAAGCGATGCGCCGGCGTGACCATGTCGGACTTCGTGGATACGTACTCTACGACCAAGTTGTCCGCCCCGCTGCTATTTTACCAGCCTGATGGAGCTAACACACGGCTCGTGCGCAAGGCAGCGTATGACGCCATCACATCTGGCTGGATTATGGCGTAACTTTAGTCCAATGGTTACAAGGTCATTACTCCATAATCAAGACGTGCGCGTTTGAAATATAAAAATCTTTCTGCATATATACCTTTTTAAACATATTAACTGTCAGGTCTTGAGAACGCAGGTGTTAGACTCATTTTTACAGCGACAGCTTTTGCAGAGTTTAACAGCTGCATTTTTGGTCACCTGATTAACTTCCGCGGGTGGGCTATGAACTGACAAAAGAAAATGTAGTTTGGTATGGAAAGCGCGTGGCATTTGCTATCGTAGGCAATAAACACCGTTCGAAAGTAAAGTTGGTTTCTCTACAAAAGCAAACAGTGCTTCATAGACCGACAACCTACATTTAAAGTCTCTCCGAGTCCTTAGTGTACTTACTTTTCGCGTCAGACAAAAAAGCAATAGATATGCCAGGCTCATAGCTGATACCTGTCTAACTTTCGATATTATAAGCGGCCCAGCCATTTTCCAAGCAATCTTCAAGTTTCTCCTGCCGCGTTTCGTTTCCATACATTGAGCGCTCAGCATTTCTTGTAAGCTCCCATGAAAATGCCAATCGTCGAAACTCGAGAGCATATCGGCGAGTTGAAGTTTACGCACCAGTCGGCCAATTCGTCTTGCTTTTTAATCCTACTGGTAGTTAGCAATTTCCACAAGCATCGTTTGCACGTGTTTCTCTTGGTTCTTGAACCTTCTAACGAACGTGTTTCTGTAGTTCGTCATATGTAACGGGGTCACACGACGGTTGTAACGTCATTCCGAAAGTTTACGGTTGAAGTTTCTATATTGCATATAATGTATTCTCGATACTTCTCTTTAGAGAGGTATCAAGTATAAGCGTTAAGATACGGTATTCGGTAATACCGTATCCTATCTATTAGGATTCGATAATCGATACTGCTGTACTAAGTGATGTGTGGACGACATGTCGTCCAATAACGAAGTCTACATATTATAATTACTGTTATAGTAATTAATCTAGTGTAGGGTACTTAGAGTAGGACTATTCATAAAATCTTAAAGCATAAAAAAAATCAGTTCTCATTTTGAGTTTAAGATCGCAAGTCGCTCTGACTTGTTCTCTTGTGCACTTCGTGCGTTGGTTCTCAGAACCTTTAAGCTCCTAGCTTATTCTTGCACACTGTGCGTTGGTTCTCTGAACCTGAAGCTTATTGCTTGACTGACTAAAGTCTCTCTCCTAGTTCCTTAGAACATGGTGACTTTGTTGTCCTTTAATTCGTTCCTTAGAACTAAGTGGCTTTTAGCCGTCAACTTCAATTGTTCTGTAGTACTAAGAGGCTTTCAGCCTATAAGTCTTCCTCTGGCTAAAGAGGTGTCCAGCTCCACTGCACCAAAGATCAATCCTGCGATTTGTTTTCGTACTTAAAACCAGAACTCGTCGTCGCGCTGCTCGATAACCCCGGGTAAGGCGACATTGGACTGCACGACAACTTGTAATTCTGCAGGCTTTATTAAGGCATTAGCGTCGAGCACAAAATGTTTTCGAGCTGATCCTTACACGAAATTTGTAACAGGGCAATTACACGTAAACAATAATTAATATACTTAATGTTTGGTCTAAAAGTATCCATGATTACTTTTGACCTGTCACTTGGGTGCGATACACAAATGTGATCCACCCTCGTGAATGTGATATCCATTGATGGATTCACATGGGAAGGGATGACGCTAGCTGAAGCTAGGCATCACGACGTCTCAGAAGGACGTCAGTTGCGATCTTAAATCTAGATTTAAGATCATGCGACAGGATACGCTTCTAAACAGTCGCGTATCCGATCTATATATATATATAAGACAATCAGTAGTTAAGTATATATTTAGTTATAATTAATTAAATATAGCTCAGTCTTGAATTTACTTAAACAAACACACCACGCACGAGAAGTTGAGAAACTTCTGCGTGACGTCGGTGTTGTAAGCGTTAAGAAGTTCGTTGCACTCTCACTTAAGCGAGAGGCAACTGGTGGTACGACTGCTTAAGCAGTCGACCAACCTCCCAACCACCCTCGCACGCGAAGGTAAGACGTTCTAACTGCTTTCTCGCTTGTGCTGAAGTTGTGTGCTAGTAGTACGAGGCAACTTCGTAGAAGTGCCCGTCTACACTTGGTAGCACTGGTAGTACTTCCCACGATTCGTCTCTCTGAGCGTGCGTGCGGTTAAGATGGTCCTTAATATGGACTGGAGTGACTTCCCTCACCTCACCCAACACCATAGGGAGTTGGCAGATTATATGGCGTAGGGACTTGGTGAACAAACTGGTCAACCTCTTGCATTGTCCTGCTGAGCAACATGTTGCTCAGTTGGAGCAATTTGAGGCGTTTGTGCTCGGACAGCGTAGAAACGCGTCCGAGGTAAACAGCCAATCCACCGCTAAGTCCATCACTAAGACTCAGGATGAGCTTAGGCTTGAGCAGGCACGTAATGAGGCGCTCAACAGAACTGTTGAGACGCTCTCTGCCCGGCTGCTCAACCGAGGCCCATTCGGATGGACCCTCCGAAGTTCGATGGAACTAGCCCTCACACGATTGTTCACTGGCTATTAGCAGTGGAGCAATGTGGAGTGGCGCAGCTCATCGAAGACGACACCAGAATGGTGTCGTATGCCATGTCGAACTTACTTGCGTGGCAAAGCGTCAGAGTGGGCATACTCTGCGCTGATGGCAAATGCTGATGCATTTCCATCATGGGCGATCTTTAAGGCAAAGATTCGCGCCATGTATCAGCCGCCTAACAACGAAGTGTTGCTTATGGCGCGCTTCTTTGGAACACGACAGGCGAAACGCTCTCTGCAAGAATTTGTGCAGGAGATGCGTTCGCTGACGGCGTCCATCAATGTGGAACCGATACCGGAACGTATCAAGGTGGTCACGTTCATAAATGGACTTAGGCACGGTCAATTGCGTCAGACCCTTTTTAGAAAAGTGCCAAAGACGATGGAAAGGCAATTGACATTGCCTTGTTGAGGAGCAATCCTACAACAGCGCCTCGGCAGCAGCCTATTACAGGCCGTCGACCGAGAAGTCTGATGCCACTCCTATGGAGTTAGGCAATGCAGATGTGATCTGCTACAAGTGCGGCAAGCGAGGGCATATGATGGCTTGCTGCTATGCCAAAGTAGCTGCTGGTGCTAAGGAAGCCAGAAAAAGGTCTCCCAACCCGAAGGGAGGTGCGAAAAACCAGCTTGCACGACGCACGGGTTCAGCACCTGCACAAGATGGGTCGGGAAATGCGGGAGCGCAGTAGAGCGGGATGCCCTACTGTCGCGGACTCTGAAGCTACCTCTAAGTTCAGAGTGATCGAACAAATGGGTAGCATAGTCCCTGAGGTTCCGAAAGGTCGGACCTCAACCCTTTTGGTCTATAGCGCCGAGTACGAGGCTATGACCAAGTGGTGTCCCTTCTCGTGGATTCGAATGCATCACAAAACTTGTGAAACTCGCTCTGAAAAAGAGTCCGGCGAGTTATGAGTCGCTTTGCCAGGATGGCAAGTGAGAAGAGGTGATCGTTCGTTTAGCGAACGGCGCGCTCGTTAAATCGGAGGGAGTTCAAGTTGAACTCGCCTTCAGTTTCAGTGACTTCTCTTGTAAAGAGAAGTTCACAGTGCTAGGTATGGAGAGTCCGTATGACCTCATCCTAGGCATGCCTGGGTTGGCTAAACACCAACCATGAATAGACTGGCGTACACGCACAGTCGCTAGCTCTACGCAAGAAACCGGAAATGATGTGCTCCTGCGAGAGGCTTATGTGGCTGATGCTGCGTCCTACACAGTCGAGATTGCGATGACAGTATGTCATTCGGCACCAGGTACTACGCAGCTTGTTGAGCCTAAAGTAGTTAAAAGTGCACTGGCGGAAAGCCAGGTGACACATATTCCTACCCAGGTCGAAAAGACTGGTGTAGTGAATGGGGCGATGACAGATAGTCATGCGTCCAATAGTCCTGCACAGAGCTGTGGTGGAGTGGATTTTCAAACAACGTAGGAGATCCACAAACACACACAGCGCCGGACTTCCGACTTACAGAGGGGGTTCCCCGATACCATGTCGTGCCAAATTTGGGTCTCACCTTGTGTACCCGTCGGCTTGGCTGGTCTTGCTCCTCGTTAGACGCAGAGGACTTAAAGACTTGATCCTTGTATGGAGGGACTTGGTGGTCCCCGAGTGGACATACTTCACTTAGGCCCGAGGTTTTCTTGGGCTCAATCGACTTAGTCGAGATCGATGCACCTGGTACTGCGTACCCCTTTGGTGGCTGACTGTTCTTGGTCCTTGGACCCCTTTGTGTTCTTCCCCGTAGGGAAACCGCTTTCTGTAGCGGGTCGTAGAGTCTTGACACTTACTTGACACCTCAGGCCAACTATCCTGAGGTTCAACATGCATAGCTTGAGCCGTCTAACACCTGCTGGACGTCGGGGGCCAAAGGGTATCCCGCCCGGAAGAGGTGAAGTGACGTAGAGTCTATGAGGAGGCGCTTAGAGCTGCCACGTGTAAAGCAAATTCGAGTGTGTGTATTTATCTTATGCTTTGTATATTTTTTCTTGCCTAACCTTAACCCTTTGATCTAGATAGTGCCCCGTGTCGACTCTTGGAAGAAGAATTGGCTCCTTGGCACCCGTACTTTCTGTACTCTTCGATATTCTGTGTACTGATTCTGCATCCTCGGGCATTAGGCCCTGTACCCTGGGCTCTCGGACCTCGGGGCTTTGGGGCCTGTACTGGCTCTTCACTTCTGGGTCCTTATTTTCTTAATAAGGCGGGGCCTGGTGTGAGGGTGTGGATCTGCGAGGCCGTGTTGTGGTCACTAGTGACTGGCAATTCTCTTGCCACAAGCTTTGATTTCCTTGGCACTTTATCATAGCTGTCCCCTGCGCGCTGGTCTTCCAATCTGCGGCAAGACCCCGTGCACCCTTGTTCAAACTCCTCGAATTAACAGTAAGTGGCTCTGTGTTGATTGTGTGTTCACCAACTCACAAGTCTTGTACT